CAAATTCCATTTAAAAAACAAGTAAAATCTAATATTTTATACCTCCGGGCTTTTTATTGTATATTTTTATATAAGGTTTTAAACAAAGAATTTATCGAGATCGGACACCCCTCTGTGTGAGGGGTCATATACGTGGACCAGACCGAGAATAGCTTAAACACGCCAAAGGTCAACGGTCGCGACCACTTTCGTGCTCAAAGGGGTGTTTTGGGGCCACCAAAAGGCATCATTGTCACGCCCGAAAACACCTATACAATAAAAAAAGAACGTGCATCATTTACAGTCCAATAGTAAAACATACACCGAGTCCCAAAAAAACCCGTCCACCCAAACGCGAGAAACAGCTGCGAACATGAAAATCTAAATCTCTCACAAAACCCTTCCGCGGAAGGATGTCTCCTCCCCTGGAGGTAATAAAGGGACTCCTCTTAGCTTGTTTTCGGCTATTTCAAACGCTTTAAGCATAAAATGCTGACGAAAATGTGCAGTTGATGTCTATTTCAGAGTGTATTCCTTATCCAGAATATTCCTATCATGCATTCCTAATATTTTTGCCGCCCTGAAATTTCATCGGTTGCCTTTAAAGGTAAAGCACAAGCAGATAATTCTGATATAAAAGAACGAAGTTGCTTACTTCAAGCTGCAGTTGCACTTTCAATCGCTTGGTGTCTAGAGGCTACGTGGTACTACGTTCTTATAACAGGAGCATGAATTGAATACATATTTTCAAGATGCGTTGCTGATCAAAATTTGAGCTTCACCATCTGATAGTTGATAATACGATCATTTGGCATCAACTTTTTTCCATATTATGCGTGATTAATCGCTTATTGTCGTTTTTATCAACATTCTTTCTAGGACAAAGGCCAGTAACGTGCACAAGCCCAGTGGGCCCATTCATGACTTTCACAATTCCCATAATGCCTGGCCTAGTAAAAATACGGATATGACGTATGACCACCTATCCCCCTTCCTTGATGTAATATTTCCAACAAGTTCTATCGACAAACTGGTCAACTATATTGTTTTGATTTAGTACAAAGCGCATGCCATAATTACATTTTTTGTTGGAATTTGAGAACATGACGTACCTTCTATCGTTCTACCTTCTACCGAAGAAGACGGTCCACTCGCACGGTCGCATTACGTATATCCGCTCCTTACGTCATATCCCATCTATATCCGTGATCTTTACGGAATTATGGGAAGTGTGAAATTCATGAATTCACCAGTTTCCCATCCCCAGAATGCAACGCGAAAACAACATAGGACAGGAAGGCATCGGAATGATCCTGGTAACGTTAAGCAACTTGTTTTTCAGTGTGTTTTGAGGTGTTGGGTCATTTTATGCTCAACATTAATTTAATCACTTTGGGTCGAATCTGACAACAAATGGAGAGTGATGTTTTTATGTTCTTTTCAACATGGAACATGTGGTTTGTAAGATTACAGCATCATATAGCGTTACCACTATGACGTTACAAACAATTCATTCCAAAAAATTCATTCTCTATTTGTTGTCAGATTCAACCCATGGTAATTTAATTAACCTTGGCCATAAAATGACCCAACACCTTAAATCACAGTGAAAAGCAAGCTGTTTAACGTCACCAGGATCATTCTGATGCCTTCCTGTCCTATTCAAATGAGGTTAGATCCCCTGTTGTATTCTGAGGATGGGGAAACTGGTGAATGGTAATGACATTCTAAAACCAAACCTAAACAAGGCATTTTCTTTGGAATTATCTTAGCTGGATGTAAGACTTTGATTGATTTAATGTTGTTTAAAAAATAGCTATGTTTAGGTTCTCCGTTTCGCTTATGCTACGGTCACAACCCACCGTACGTGCTTCTGCGTGCTGTCTACGTGCAAAAACGTGAGCAAACGTAGGGCATCCGTGCGTGGTGAGTACCACCTCCGTACGCGGAATCCTGCGGATTTGGGAGCACGCAGACACGCCGTAGAACTTTAAGTGCATGTAAAACTTTTTCTACGTGTGGTCTGCGGATTCACCACCCGTACGTGCGAGTACGAGCGACGCGCGTGCTTCGTACGTGCCGTACGGAAGAAGCACGTGTGAGTACGACCTCCTTACGGTAAAGTTGCAATCGCACAGAGATCGTACGTTGTAAGCACGTACAACTCACTTACCACTTGCGCAACGAACGATGCACGCAGCCGTTCACGGCCAGACGTGGCGTGCAGACCCCATTCTTACACCTTGTGCGAGTGACGTGCGAGTGACGAGTGACGAATGATTTTTGAATAAACAAGTTCATCTGTGTTGGTAGTTACATGTTTAAAGTTAAACCTTTTGATCCAACACAAAAAATTCTCTCACCTAGAGCTCACCTAGACTATTTTTGAGAGGGGTGAAGGAAGCTATTTACATCAGGGCCCATCACCCTACATTGAACCGCGACGGGGGTCGACATCGTCTACCAGATACCTTTGACCCAGTATTGACGTCACACTTCAAACAAGCCACGTGACAAGCTTCACTGGGTCAGTTTACTGAGGAAGACCAGTGTGACTGGTCGAAAGCTCTAGGTGAGAGAATTTTTTGTGTTGGACCAAAATTTTTAACTTTAAACACTACACAAATTTGTGTAACTAACAGATAGCATCATAGGAGCACAAGTAATGGTTTTTAATTCCCTTAAATCAAACACAAATTCCCGATGCCTACTAGTCAAATTAAAGTACACCATTATTCCCTGTGTCTGAATTATTTATCTCTTGTCCTGCCGGTCATCCTCTCTTGACCACGTACCTACCAAACACACATGCAGACTCACAGCGTCTCCACTCAAAACAATACTTCCGTGCCCTGAATTAGGAAGTCATATACAAAGAGGTCGTGAAAATACTGCATTTATTCTTAGAAATGCTTCTTAAACAGCTATTTACAATAGCTGCTATAGTGTGTAACAAGCAGTATACATGTACGTTTAACTATAATAGTTGTTGTCTGGAGATATCTGGCAGCATGTATTGTATACGTACACATGACTTTTGATAGAAAGACGAGAAAAAAAACAGTTGTTTCGAGGACAAACACAAAGAAGCTGCTAATTTTGGGTTTACAGAAAACTCCAACATACGTGCTCACTTAAAGCTGCATTACGTGGCATTATGACGACAAAAAAAAAGGAAATTTACAATGTAAGTTGAATCAACCCTACGCAACAAAAGACGCCTTATGAGTGCGTTAAAAGCTTGAAACACAATTTTCGTTTTTTTTTGTTTACAATCTAGCGGTTTGTGGTGGCACCACAAACTGGGTGCGCCTAGATTGGGCTGTTTTAACTCAAATCATAAAGGTAAGAAATACAATAATTTCACAAATATCTTGTAGAAGAAAACTACAGTAACATAGATATTCTTTAAACAAAGCATTTCAATTTGTGGTGCAAAAAAACTTGCACGATGCCCCTTTAAAGTAGAGAAGAAATAATGTTGCAACAATACAACATACGACCAATGCGACCGCCTGTTAGAAATGGGCTTGGACTGCGACGCGGTTACATTAGGATTAGGTTGTAAGATTTTCGTCAGAGCCAACCTTGGATCTAAAACAGAATTTTCTTAGCGGTATGAATTTTGTACAGCTTATGCACAACTATTCCAAGATTGCTTGTGCTTGCAGTTGGTATTTGTAGGGCGATTGTAAGGCGTTGTGGCAAGGACCTTACTAGACTTATGATTCGTAAGTAATTTGTATGCTGGCAGTCATTTCCTTTTGTATACCATATCACCACCTCAGTGGTAGAACACGGTTTGACACTGTCTTTTCCACCCTTTTTTTCTACTGTCATGCCGCATGGCGGAATGTAAAAGTAACTGTAGCTCGTGTTTATTGTTCATACATTGACGCCATAGCTCATTGTCAGCATGCAAAAAGCAACAAGTTCATATATATTAGTCCTAAATAATAAAAAATAATAATAAAAACAGCATATAAACCTTCAACAATAACCAGTTACCAAATGCAAACATGATAACGATTGGATAAGATGTACCGAAATTCAATGCAACCGGTAAATCCACATACCAGTCTTCTTCGTTAATGCTAAGACCACACCGCCTTAATTTTATGAATGACACCGCGCGCGCATTGATTTTCGCCAGTTCTCAAAAAAAAAAGATCACGTCCACCGAGGCTCTGGCCTGGCTCAAGGCCTGGGTAGATCATGGTGTTAGTGACAATACGGAGTAGTTAGTGACAATACGGAGCCGAGCACCCAGGCTACCGAAGCTCCACGACTCAAGAACTCAGCACATACGTACAGTGCAGATTCATAAATTCCTCAAAAAGCCAGCATGGGCCGGCTTGACGTATACGTCGCTACGTACTGCCGCAAATTCATAATACCAGCTTTGTATTCCTGTGGTTTAGTAGCATTTTTATTTCAGGCCGGAATTTTTTTCATTCGCCCGCGCGCACTAGTTTGGGGGTCTTCAGAAGATGTCATCCATAAAATTAGGGCGGTATGGCCTAATGCTAACCCAAGATATAATCCCGTATTCCACATATTCTGTGCAAGTATAACAACGTTGGTGTGGTCGAATTTCTGAGTATCTGTAGTATACCGCAGTTATATGGATATCCAGTGTAGATGTATGGTTGTTGTCTTCTGGTGATTTCAGTTCGACATGAAAGATATTGCGAGTAGGTTTGAGACCTCACCTATTAGTGTAAGTATCACAATGTGGGCTTTTTGTACATATATACAACGTTTTATATCATAATGGCTGTTTTAACACAATAGAAACACACAGGACATCTCGTGAACATTGGCACGAAAGTTTGTCATTATTAAAGACAGTCAGTCAACATATGTCAATCGTTCTTAACATTGGCTCTCTTTTTAAATGTAGAACCGACGTCCTTTATATTAGAACATGGCTGTATTCAGGGTGGGTTGTTGGAAACTCAAGAACTACCATTCCTTTGTCCGTTGTAACTCGTATTTTTACAAAGGAAAGTGTGTTTGTTTTATGGCACAAAGTTTACGGGCCGTATCTTCATACTCACGCCTTTCAGTGAGTATTGCCAGCCTTTCCACGTGGACCACGCAATACCGTCTTGCAACGCGTCGGTGTAGTTCCCTCCTCGATAGTATTTCCCGTTTAGATTAGCGTTGTAGCAGTCGTTGTACCACCAGCCGCCCTTATACAGTAGCGCGCAATTCTTTAAAGACCCGTCGTTGTCCCTGTCCCTAGTGCTGAACCGCATGTTGTTAAGATTTCTGGTGAAAAAATCCACAGTGGCGTTCGTACCGGCAATAGAGTCTCCGGCATTTCCAGAAAACGTGCCCAGTCGTATCCGGTAGTTGTTCTGTTCTGTATCCAACTGGAATGAGCTATATTCGGCGTACGCCTGGTTTCCTTCCCAATCTTCCATGTCTACACGAAGGCGGTAAGTGTTCTGGCTCAATAACAGGTAGATCGCGTCCATACCTAGCCAAAACTCTCCACCAAGATCGCCGAACCCTTTCTTGTATTCCGTCCAATTTCTATAGAAATTGACGCTTCCGTCCAGTCGCCGCTGCAGAACAGTCCAGCCGCCTCCCACCGGGCCCATGTCACAGTAAACATATAAGGCGTTGGTGAAGTTCTTAGGCCATATTGGGTAAATCCCACTGAGTACGTTACGTGTTCGCACATCGGAACAGTCTGAAAAAAAGTAGAGAATTATAATTGACTACAAATCACATATGGCAACTTAAAAATAAACGTTACCTATTGAACATAACCACTCCGCTTAAAGTCATCAAAGAACAAATAGCAAAGTTCTTTGATCACAACCATTTATTTTTCACAAGCCGACGTTTCGATGACCGTCTGTCATCTTCATCAGGGCAATTCTGACTGGTTTACTGTGCACTGACGCTAGATGTTACTTCGTGCATTGTGCACTAAATGTGTTACATAGTTCACAGTGCACTTAAGCTAGTTTTTACTGTTGACAATGCATTTCTAAACGCAGTGCAATTGTGACATACATACTAGGCATTGTTACACCATAGGGACATATGCGGTTCCAAATGTAAAGTGCAGTGCAATTGTCCTAAATAGAAATTATTAAACGTCTTGTCCCATACATTGCTATTGTTAACAGTAAAAACAAGCTTAAAGGTGCACTATGCACCAAGTAACATCAAGGGTCAGTGCACAGTAAACCAGTCAGAATTGCCCTGATGAAGATGACAGACGGTCATCGAAACGTCGGCTCGTGAAAAATAAATGGTTGTGATCATTTGTTTACCAACCTGATGAAATTATTTACGGATCATCAAAGAACAGTTACCACATGTAAGAATGCTATCACATGCTTATCACTATTTTAAGATCTTTAAATTATTATTTAGAAGTAACTTGTACATAAAGGAACCATCCCAGTATTTAGGTCCCTGCCACACTTTTCCTATCACCAGCCGACGAATTTGGACAAACGTTCAGAGCAGCCTAATCAGATTTAAACCACGCATTTTATTTATATACAAATTCAGTTGAACTTGCGTGAAATTTCACTACTAACTCCGACCTACTTTCGAACACTAGACGACCACCAAACAACTATGGCTGAATCTCTAGAATAAACATTCTGAAATATTATACTGGTGCAGCTGAACATGTACAGTAGCCGACATAGCTAAACACTGGTGGGTCGACTAGCTGACCTACGCTTAACCATAGTTAGGTGGAGTTCGGCTAGTGTTCGAAAGGCGATAGTCGGTTATGTGAGACCGGAGCTTATACATAAAAGGAGGCGCGAGGCAAGAACAGAAATAAGACATTTACCTCTTACTACACAGTCGTAACATCCTCCTATGAAGCTGAGTCGGTCCTGCACCATCCTTAGTCTGTCATCTTGAACATTGAGCTGACTAGAGACACTGTCCAACTGCGTCTTCAACAGCTTGGTCGCGTTCTGGAGCTTTTCTATCTCACAGATCCCGTCCGTTACTCGTTTCGCGAGTTCGTCTTTCTGGTCCGACAATCTATTAGTTCTTATTTGGAGGTTTACCATAGTCTTCGCATCAGTGACGACCTTGGATTGAAGTTGACCCTTTTCTGTCCTTAGGTTCTCCACTCTTAGATAAAGCCAAGCTTGAAGTAGAGACAAAGAATAGTCGTCAGTATGGTAGCATTATATAGAGATGATAAATTCTATCTATTTCATTTCTTTATTCCGCTGAACAGAACGTTGCAATGTGCATATTCAATAAAATTAGATAGGATAGACTTTAAAGATAGAACACATAATATTTTTATCTACACAATGTATTTGTATAGCTTGATATGGCCTTAGTATCAATTTATTGATCAATAACGTAACACATATGTACTCTCCTTTAAAACCACATCATTTTGGACTCTTTTGGATATGTTAAGAACAAAAAGCAGTTACTTAAGCAACTGGATATGATTTTGGATCCAGTTGCTTGAGTAACTGCTTTTTGGCGTATCATTTACCTGGATGTCTAACCTTCATCGACACAGTATGTGACAGTATTCTATATTTATGGCTTCACCACAAAGTGGTGAAGACATACATTATGTATTGTGTTCCCTCATGTTTCTTCTCCTCCTCCTCCTGCCATTTCTTCAAATGGATTCATCTCTGCCATTTTCAGGCCAAATAACACGAAATTTGGCATGAAGGTAGAGTGGGTAAATACCCTGACGCGTTTTTTCATTTTTTTGAAAAATTGTTTAATTTGGGTTTTTTGGCCATTTTCAGGCAAAAAATATACATTTTGAGATCTGGTTCCCAGGTACTAAAACCAAATGACCTGAAATTTGGTATGGGGATACCTTGTCCGAAAATAGCCAAAAAGCCTTATTTTTCCCAATTATAAAGTGGTGTATGTCAAAAGCTTGAATGACTTTTTGTAGACATAAAGTCATTCAAGCTTTTGACATACACCACTTTATAATTGGGAAAAATAAGGCTTTTTGGCTATTTTCGGACCAAAAATGTACATTTTTGGCTCCTGTGCCCTAATATTAAATCTGAATGACCTGAAATTCGGTATGGGGATACCTTGGACACATGTCCAAAGAATGCCATTCACGATATTGACATATACCACTTTAAAATTGTGTAAAATAGGGCTTTTTTTGCTATTTTTGACCAAAAATGTACATTTTTGGCTCCTGTGCCCTAATATTAAATCCGAATGACCTGAAATTTGGTATGGGGATACCTTGGACACATGTCCAAAGAATTTCATTCACGATTTTGACATACACCACTTTAAAGTTATGTAAAATAGGGCTTTTTGGCTATTTCCGGCATTGGAAGGTTCCATTGCTGCATGGGGGTGTAGACTATTGGCAGCCATCGTAGGATAGATCCATTTTCGGTATGGGGGATGTGGTGAAGCCATCTGCTGCATTTGCTCTCAAGAAAATGTCGGCCTTTCTAGTTTTCTCAATTAGTTTTCATTACCCCTTGCTAGTTGTAGTATTCTTTAATGTTTAACGAAGAAGGTACATGTGTAATATCAAACTTGGCAACATTTAATGATATGAATTATGAAATACATAGGTAGCAGTGATGGCTTATACAAGCACATATAGAAAAATTGTCGTTGTAAAGCAGCTGCCATTCCGGGCACAAACTTTGATTTGTTCACGCAATCTATATTCACGTATAAAGCGATCTGGACATATTGTCCGGGGTTTGAGGTCTTTGAAGACAAATCTGCGATTTCCCGCTATCACGATGTGGTGTGAAATTGCTTCATTATTTCTTCGACCGAATTTCAAAGTACCCCCCAAAACTTTAGATCAATAAACAGTCAATCACTGGCGCCACCTACACAGATAACATCGGAGAGAAGGGATAGAAAGACAAATAGTCTTTACCAGGTTCCAATACATCCTCATTTTCCACATTTTGTCCCTTACTAGAAATCGATAAAAGTCCATCGTGATGTATTTCTTACTCTACGGCATTATTGTGTGCAAGGGCACCTTCATGCTTTGCTAATAAATCGTTTTTACATTCTATCTAAGGCCATGTTTTGGGGTTAAATATTACAACCATCTCAGCACAAAACGGCATAGACACTGAATCGTTCCTAAGTCATTTCCTGCTGTTGAGATGTTGTGCACAATCGTTAGATTGACTCGTAATTTCGAGTCAAATGGTAGCCATAACGAGCGGGAATTTTTTGTTGTTAACGACCGTCTGACAATAGTGGGTCTAACATGGATCGAAACTTCGCCACATGATGCCCTAAAGCTGACTCAATGATCGAACAGCTGTGTTCTTTCTGACAGAGCGGAATGGGTCTTACGTCCAATTGACAATGTCACGTATTGATCTATATACTGCACCACCCACCAGAGTGTTGGCTTTTCATACGGGACGTATATAGTAGCCAGGCAGCTACTTGTAATGGCATGTGTGTGGGAGTGGATTGTAAAAAAATAGCCTCCTGTGCAGACATTCCAGTGGGTGGGAATTTTAATACAGTTGTTTGTGTATTGATAACGTGTTCTTTTTTCGGCCATTCTACAAGCCAACCGGGAATCAAAGGACAAACCAGTCTTTTTTTTCGCCACCAAATCCAATGTAAAAACATACCTTGTTGCTTGTGGAATTCTATTAGTTTTGAATAAAATTTGCACAAAAGGGATGTAGACTTTTAAGTAAAGCCTCTACCATGCTTCGGAAGGCGGCTGGAAAGAGTTCAAATCGGCCAAATAGAGAGATAGCATGCCAAGGAGTTGGTCTGCTGGAGAGAACAGCCGCCTCCCGAAGCCTGGTAGAGGCTAGACTTAATAGAGTTTTTTTTTTACCACGTCCAGGCAGTCTGTATCTTCTGGAATGAGGCGATTTGAACCCCTGAATGCTGATTGAAAGAGAGAGCAGCCGCCGACGCAATTTTACATGACAGACGGTTCAATGCTGGCCATTTTACGAGTAGTGCACGGGTAATTCCCTTTCTTTATGTGACCTAAGATCTAACAGCGTCTACTCTGATTTAATAGGTGTCCTCCATCTACTTCCCAATTACAGAGCTACCCCTCTAAAACAAATGTATTGAATCGCAGGCCGTGATCACTTGCTGCTCGCATAGTAAAATACACGTCGTTCAATATCGTTATTTGCACATGGTGAACAATGTGAGATAAAGACCATAATATACCTGTGAACGCCGTTAGGGATAGTAGAACCACCCAGGTCAGAATGGTGCAGGCTATTTTCCATCGCCTTCTGGCCGTGGGTCCGAGATGATTCCTGCTTTTATGTTTGCTCTTTGCCGCGTCCATCCTCTTTTTGGTGTCCTCCAACTGCAGGCATGTCAGTTCTATCGTAGGGTCTAAAAAGGAGAGAGAGAGAGGCAGGTACTAAAAAGTGCTTACGGAATCACACTATCGTATATATGACTTGTCTGAAATACTCTAATTTAACACTACGGGTCTGACATCTTCATCTGACAAGTCGTCAGAGCAGTAGCCCGTCGCTCGAACATCGGTCTTGGACGTCAGATGAATCCTATCGGGGCCCCGGTCTATCTTCTGTGAATGAAGTGCATAAAAAGGGCATAAAAATGCCATTAACAAGTCCCATCCCTCATTCGACGTGACAGGTAGAATGAAGAGGTCATGTACGGATGTCATCTCGTCCCACGCCTGAAAGACCATCCAGAGGATGAAGATTCTCCGTAATGACCAAGGCAATACGTGATGGCAATATAACTAGACGCGTGCACTCTAGACACAAAGTTTACGTCAAAATGCTTTAAATAAATGACTTTAAATTACGAAAGCTTATTTCCATAAAGATTAGGAAAAGCTAAGAAAGGCAGAATTTCAGAGTTTCACCCCTTCCCTACTCATTCCAAGATGGACTGTTCCATATCATCTTTTCCATGTATTGCATTCAAGTATGAAGTGTTTAAAAATACTTCCCATTTACTTCTCAATGCCCATAGAATGCTTCTCACTAACAATTGCTCTGCAATAATAAGCAAACAAATCGGGGGCATTCTTGGGCCGCGTGCTTTGTATAAATCCCTCAGGTGATTGTAGGGATGGTTATGTAAATAGTGGATAATTAGGCCAATAACAAATAAGGATCATCCTGCTTTGAACCTATCGACGCCACCATGTATCTGTTTGATAATTGCCATGATTATGATTTGATAATCTCGGCTACCAATCATCAAAACCAAATATGGCCATACGCACCAAATATTGTCACATACTGCTTTTAAAAAAAATCAGTACATTTTGTTCTTAATATATCCAAAAAAAGTTCAAATTCATGTGGTTTTGAATGAGTGTACATATGTAAAAGTGTATAAATTAATACCAGGGCTCCAGAGGCAAAAATATACAACGTTTTCTGCAATTGGTGCAAAAACATTATGTCTAAACGGCTTCTTAATCAAAGTGTAAAAATAATACAAAATATAATAATACAAAATGTAAAAAAGCAAGTTGGTATTCGTCCATATACCCCGTACAAAATTAGCTCGTTCGGCCCTAAAATGTAGAAACCCATATAATTGTATATGTATTATATTAGCCTACGGTGTTAGTTTTACTGAGTATGTGGAATGTAAAATTCGTCGCAATTCAGTGTATATTGCAAGGCCGATTTGTATCGTGTTTTTTTTAAATGAACCATTTTCAACTACTAACTACTACTACTTACTACTATCTAACAAAATGGCAGGAAAGAGAAGAAAAGAGTAAGAAAAATAAGAAAAACCATACTAGTAGGCAAAGCAATATGTTTAATATGTTCCATCTATAACTATGATATGGAGTAAAAACATAATAGATCAACGCATATGCGATCCTCTTAGCAGGTTCGACCATCTAGTAATTTTCATTAAAATATCAATTTTTACTACTCCCCTAGTTTAAAGTAAACCATTTTTTTCATAGGCGTTCGAAATTTTATAGAGGAGTGAATGGTATGTTTTAAAATGAAATTGCCACATCGGAACGAACTTAATTTCCTCGTCAGACCATAATTTCTGATAATTTCCGGGAATGGAAATTACTCTCCCTCAACTACCGGGTCCTGTTTATTGATTTATTGTTTTATGGCCTGCATTACTATATGGGGAAATAAAGACTACTAACTGTAAAACGAATGTTATAAAACTAATAAATATAGATAATCACTGTACATGTTATACATATATACTTCTGATAGCACCCATAGCTATGGCACTAAATATTGTAATACTGGCTGTAGCAACTTGTCATGATAACTTATTCTGCAAGATGGCGTTGATCGGATTGGTGATCAGTAATAATCAGAGGCGCTCCTGCCTATCGTCCATACCATTAGCAGGCCACAATAAAAACCTTAGATACATCATCTATATGTTAAATGTAGGTGGACGTCTCATCCGTGTCTTTGAATTAACTTGCGCTTGGGCAGGGGGAATTATACTCTTACAACTCGTAATATAGGCTATGCATCTCCAAAGCTTGAACATGAATTCAGAGACCACAGACACGCACATATATACACACATGCACACACACATACACACAAACACACACACACATACACACACACACACACATGCACACAAACACACACACACACATACACACACTCTCTCACACACACACACACATACACACACACACACACACACACACACGCACACAAGAAAAAAGAACGAACATTGAATGTACATGTATATGTTGACTATATGACATTTGTTGTATCAAGCCCATATATTTTCTATGTCACATTTAGCTTCTCTCAGATCTTAAAGATAATAATAATAATAACACAAGGGACCTGTTGCTACCACTGATGTGACGAATGAAGTTTATAAATTATTTATCATTGAGCAAACAATCGACAAACAAAAATTTCATCTGCGGGATAATCAATACATAGTTACCAGTGCACAGACAATGCAATTTCTACTTCTCTCTCTCTCTTTCTCTCTCTCTGCCTATCTGTTTTAGTCTCTAGCTCCACCTTACCCCTCTTTCTCTATCTATAAATTATGACATAGCAGCACAGGAATGTTAGGATATAAATTCAGTGTTTTTTAAATGATTTCACCTAAAGGAATAAGGAAAAGCAATGCATCATGAGTCTTTAATCGGACTCTATATTATTGATACGCACACCATGGAAGCCATCACATGTACATCAATCATAACATAAGGGATATGTTTCCTAGGATGGGCGTTGCAGCAATCCATACATACGTATCAAGGGGCGTACCCCCTTGAGAAGTTTAGTAAGATAACATGAAATATATCAAAGAGAGTAGAATACTATGTCCCAATATAAAAAGAAAATTTTATGAGAGATTTGAGGTTCACGTACCGTCTGTAGATATGCTAACCTCAGCTGCTTCTGCTGGGAGACCGGTGTCTCATAGCTTAGACATTGGAGTAATGCCGTCAAGCAGGCAGCTGTATTGGTAAATCAATGCCTGGCTACCGTAAGGGATCGAGGTGGGTTATCTCTAGACGTCCAGATGAATGCAGTGAGAGCTTCTAAGATATTTCCTAGTGCGCTGTTGCATTGTTATATGTCTGAAATTGACATGTTGACGCCACTTGACCTATGCCTAGGAAAAAATTGTGTTTCCTGTTTCAGTTCTTAAAACTTATGGTCGGTAGGTAGAGATTATCTTTTTTTAGCCTTTAGTGATACCTATGTAGACATATCCGACTTATACAATACAGTTTAACAAGGCAAATCTTGCACGAGGACACCTTTTTTAATGCCAATGCTAGAAATCCAATTGTACAACGTTTTATCACCCGGGTGTCATATCATGGAGCTAGAAAAGTTTGATCAGCTTGCAAAAGTACCTGTCCCTTGCAGAGGTCAACCCAAAAGTCTAGGGTCGGCAGGTTTTTCTAGGGTCGGTCAGGAAACACAATGTTTCTTTCCTAGGCCCTATTCTTTGACTTGGTCAATCGGTAAACAGCATGCAATTGCCGCAAAACTGCAAGAGTATTCCGAAGATATGGCAAAGACTTACCCTTTGAAATATTTCCTAAAACCTAGCTTGCTCGCTTCTAAACCTTAAAGCAACGAAAACGACGTGAGAGCAATTTGGAATGAAACCAACAGACCCATTCGCAGACGCAGGAAGATAAATGAAACAGCCATGTAACAAGCCAAGTAAGAACACATAAAACCCCTCTAGGTCAGGCTGGGTCCCGCTTGCGCTGCATTATTTATCCACCCTTGCGGGGAACGGGGAAGAAACGAACCACAAAGTTCTGTCTTGATTTGAGCCTCCAGGCGTCCCGTGTAATCAGCTGCCTCTGCGGGTTTGTTTCAGACGGAGCAGACAGGTCATTGTCAAGTACGGGAGGAAATTAAGCTAGGTTCTCACATGCATGAAGCGGAAATAGAATCGCCTCCGCTATCATGGCCATCTCTAATTGATGTATGGACCAAAGAATCTCATTTTGGCTATCTTTAGTGCTGATACAAAACAATTTTTGTTGCTTACCGATTTCTTTGTTACTAAAAACACTACGGTGTGTATATCAGGGTAAAGTTTTATGACGATTTTAGCATGTTTAAGTCATTTAATTCGACGTGAAGTGTTAATTTTCGACGTGAAGTACAAATTCATTATTAACATTAGAATTAACACTTACTACCTTACTTTATATAAACTAGACAGACGGCGGTGCAAGAACTATCATGAGAGCGAACGAACTTGTAAATATTATATGTCATATTTAAGATGGTAGAAAAATACATATTTTTATCTCAAATTGCCCCTTCTACGATCACCAAAAAAGGACCTCTTTAAAGAGGCCAACAAATTCCATGTTAATTTTTCTACCTTCAAAGACAAAAAGATATCTACTCTCAACTTAACACAAAACACACAGTAAAAATCTCGGAAAAAATTGATCTTGATCTCTTGTCAAAATCATACTTAAGTAGTTTATATAGCTATTTATTCTCCATAATTTATAATTTATATTATAATTCATTTTTAAGTTGTTTAACTACCTGCACGCAATTAGCCTAAGGGCAAAAAAAATACAATAAAACTTTTCAAACAGTTATCTCTTTTTCAGGACAAAAGAGAATACGGCTACGACAATGAGCAATGATAAAACTTGACGAAAAAACTACCAAGGATACGTTTGATTTATGTAAATGATCTTTGGTATAGTTTTAATTGGTTTACAAGCGTACCAAAATGGTCCATAAGATGTCATTCATTCTAACGAATATGGTAAAAATCCACATTCTAACGGTAATTCAATTTGCTTTCTGATTTAAGTCATCGCCAAGAACTAAACACAAATGAATTATCTCCGCTGTATAAATACTGTATATTATATAATT